CCTCCCCTCCCCATCTACAACCACTTTATTTCCATCTTTTCATTCTCTCATTTTCTTTTCTTTTCCCTTTTTACTCTTCCCCTACCCATCCACCTTCCCTACACCTTTAGCTCCTTTCTTCCCATTACTCAATGTCAGTAATCTTATTAGGATGTGTATATTTTTAATTTTAACTACTTTTTTTTTTTTGGTACTGGGGATCAAGCTCGGATCCTTGCGCGCTTGTGAGGCAGGAGCGGAACCACTGAGCTAAATCCCCGGCCCTAATTTTAACTGCTTTTTGGCATAAATCTGTTTGTCCATAAGTCATTGTTACTGTTATAAGATTGTGTTTTCTCTAAAGATTGTTTCATTGCTTATGTTGATTATATTTTATAAGCAAGATGTTTCTCAAATTTCTCTAAAACGATCACTAGTCTGGATTTCGGAATGGTCTCCCAGGGTGCAGTGGGCCCAGGGGCCTTTGCCTCTGCAGCCTCCCACCGGCCCTCAGGAGGTCCCGGCAACTGCTTCAGTCAGGTCACCTTACAGTGATAGAGGAGAGCGCGCTTGGCAGTGTTTTCCACTTCCGTTCTGCACGGTCGCTGAGCGTGTGATGTGCCTCTGGTTTACTGTCTCTTCTTAAATTGGCCATTAGCTGGCTAAGCCTGGCTCGTCTCTGCTGAGAATTTCCATTCATGTGTGCAGGGTTCCAGCTTGTGCCGTGCGATGCACACAAATGAAATAACTGTTCTCTTGTAAATCTACTTCTTTTCCTCCAGATCAGCAATCGTGTTCTGTATGTGCTTTTCACGCATGTGCAAGAGCTCTTCGGAAACGTGGTACTGAAGCCGGTGACGAGGCCCCTGCGATGGTCCAACATGGCCACGATGCCCACGCTGCCCGAGACCCAGGCCAGCATCAAGGAGGAGATCCGGAGACAGGTGTGCCACTCGCCTTCCCATGCAGCCGCCGTGCTGCCCAAGCCTGCCCTGTGTGGGGCATGTGGAGCACATATTCTCACGGGCGCTGTTCACGCACAGGTGTCAGGGCGTGTGTGGGGGACTTCAGATCCAAGCACTGCTCTCTTTCCTGTTCTGCTGCACAGTAACACCCGGCTTTATGCTGGTTGCTCATCCCTCTTCAGCCTTGGTGTTCTTATTTATTTTTTGGTACCGGGGATCAAAGTTGGGTCCTTGCACTTGTGAGGCAGGCGGCAGAACCTTGGAGCTAAATCCCCGGCTTATATTTTTTATTAAATTTGTTTTGTTTGTTTTGAGACAGTGTCTTGCTATGTAGTTCAGGCTGTCCTTGAACGCCCCACACAGCCCAGGCTGGCCTCGAACTCAAGGCAGTCCTGCCTCAGCCGCTCGAGTGCTGGGCTTACCGATGGCGTTCTTACTTTAAAGTGCATCCTGTCACGGGTTGGTGTGAGCTCCCAGATGGGAAGATGCGTGAGGGGCTCGGCTTTGCCAGGCCGCAGCGTCACGTTTGCTCATCTAGACAAGGCTGCAGAGATGTAGGGGGTTGTCATTCCCAGGAAGAGACCCGAGATTGAGCCCACAGTACCACTGTGATTCTGACACGAGAAACAGTGCGACGTGTGCCAAGTTAAATAAATTCAAGACTGAGGAATCAGAGTGTGTCTGATTGTTCACGCACACATCGTCACCCCCCCCGCTCCCTCTGCTCATGGCTCCTGCTGGTTGTCGGCAGGGCAGAGTGAGTGGGTGCTGGGTCTGGGTTAGCGGCCGTGTAACCGGTGTGAGTCAGTGAATAGAGCCTCCTTCCCAGGGAAAACTAGCGAGGACGCTTCCTGTCAGGTCCTGGGAAGTACCAAGTGCTGTTCGCACACTCCTGTGGTGTTGGTCTTTAGAGACCACATGCATTATTTTAGACACAATAGGATGTGGGACACTATCAGTGTGTGCTCTTATTTTCTAGGAGTTTCTTTTGAATTGTTTACATCGAGATCTGCAGGGTGGGATAAAAGATTTATCTAAAGAAGAAAGATTATGGGAAGTACAAAGAATTTTGACAGCCCTCAAAAGAAAACTGAGAGAAGCTAAAAGACAAGTGAGTTAATTTATCGTTTTGACATATCATACTTATTTATTTTTGTACTGGGGATCAAACTGTGGACCTTGTACTTGCGAGTCAGGCTGTGGCACCACTGAGCTAAATGCCTGGCTGATGTATCATATTTATAAGAAGATATAAAAAGGATGTGCTGGACTCTTTTATACACTACTGTAAATGATTCCTTTTAAAAGTATTTGTCCATATCTGTTGATGTGAGCTTCTGTAGTGGGAAATGTACCGCTCCAGCATTCAGGATTGCCAGTACTTGAGCTTGCGGTGAGTCAGATACTACATCAGGTTAGACAGCTTTTATTTTATGAAGACGATCTTCCTGGCAGATGTTTGTCACCTGCTTGGTCACACCTCTGCTTGGTGGTTCAGGACATCTCCAGAGCTGGGAGGACTGGGGTCGCCGGGTGGAGGTGCAGGACCACTGTGCCTGTCAGCTGTGCGTGGCGCTCACCATGGGGTGTGTTTCAGGTGCTGCGAGCCCAGCCTCCCAGATCTCGGGGCCACATGACACCCCAGGGGCCGTCACAGCGGGGTCTGAGACAGCGGCTCCCTCCCTCTGTGGTTCTCCTCCTCTTTCCCGTTCCTGGGCAGGGCAGACTGCGGTGGTGGCCGGCTGGTGCGGGGCCCTGGCTGGGTTAGTGAACGCAGCTCTGGCTTTCGTGCTTCTTGTGCCTGGCTCAGGTAGTGAGCCATGCTGTGGCAGCCAGGGCCAGTGTGAAGGGGTGCACCGCCCTATCCAGTTCCCTGGCTCTCCCTTTGTTGTGCCCCATCAAGGGCTCGTGCATGATGAGCCTCACCCACAGCCTTTCCCACCTTTCTGGTTGCTGCAGTTTATGCCTGCTGTCAGCTCACACAATGCTCAAAAGGTTCCATCCTGTTGACTTTTTGAGGACTGCAATTTTTTTGAGACAGTCTTGTTATGTAGTTCAGACTGGCCTCCAACTCTCTCCTGCCTCAGCCTCCCAAGTGCTGGGATTACAAATGTGTCCCACCATGGCCTGCTTAGGAGCACATGACTTTTAAACAGAGTAACATAATCCAAGGTATTAGCAGGCTAAAGTAAGAAAAAAACCACACTATCAGCTTGGCGTTTCCTGTAAACAGTCCACTCCTGTGGTGTAAGAGAAAAGCTGATGCCACCTGAAGTGTGGGCACGTGTGCCGTGGCTCTAGTTCTGCAGGGCCCCGTGCCCGCCTGCTGGTGAGTGGTGGGGTCCTGGCTCTGTCTACACACTGGGGGGTGTCTGTACCGAGCAGCACGGGAGGAGACTCAGCGCTGTGCTCAGTAAAGAAGCCAGAGTCAGAAAGACTCCTTGTTGGGTGATTCAGGTATATGAACCTCAGGAGGAGGAATTGGGGCATGGTGGCACCTATGGGTAATCCTAGCACTGGGAAAGCTGAGGCAGGAGGATCACTGCAAATTCAAGACCCGCCTGAACTACAAATCTCAAAATTACAACAGCAACAAAAAACTCCAGGAAAGCTGGTAGTGATGGGAGCAGGCTTGGCGGGTATGAGCAGCAGATGGCAGGGACCGGGGAGTCTGGTGACAGTTGGCGATCTGGCTGCACGCCTGTGTCAGAACTGAGCTGTGGACCCTGCCAGCCCCTAGGGCGGTGGCCCCAGAGGTGGCGAGTGGTGCAGACACAGACCGGGAGACTGCGCGAGTCCCCGTCCCAGCCCAGGGACAGATGCGCGGCCTTATGTCTTGCTCCTGCCCGTGCTGGGAATGGAGTCACAGACTTACAGTGTGGGCACTGAGCATGTGACGTGCAGGCTGACTGGTCTCTTTCCCCCATCTCGCTGGACAGGAGTGTGAGACCAAGATCGCCCAGGAGATAGCCAGTCTTTCAAAGGAGGATGTTTCCAAAGAAGAAATGAATGAAAATGAAGAAGTTATAAATATTCTGCTCGCCCAGGTAAGCAGAATTCTTTTTCTCTCTTTTATAAGACTTTTACCATCATTTAAAAATTAGTCTGATTTTTTTTGATACTCCTTCCTAAATCGAACTAAAGATTTAGTTATCAAATTAACATCTACTTGACATTGTATACGTGCGGTGGAACAGACATGATTGGGAGTAAGGTCAACAGAGCTGTGGTCTAGAATCTGTCAGTAACTTTGTAACCTTGGAGATGTCAGTCATTCCCTTTAAGTTTATATAGTTGTAAAATAAAGAGCGTGCAGTGGCTCTAAATGTTAAAATAAAAAGTCTGAGCAGCTCAGCTGCAGAATCTTCTAACCGTGATGACCTGCTGGTGAGAGCAGTGTTCTCCCCGCTCTGCCCGCGTCCACCTTCGTCGTGCTTAGCCCACACGACAGCCGAGCGTGTACTCTGCCATGCTCAGATGTGTGTGCCTGTTCCGTCGGTGGGATGGGACTACAGGAAGAATTTAGCTTGGGGTTCTTGGAGGTGGGGATGCAGGTCGGGGCCGAAGCCGGGGTGACAGCCTCGGTTACACAGGCTTTCTTCTCTGGGGCTGGAAGCGGTTGTCGAGGTGAATTGTCTCCTGACTCCTCACGGACGTGAACACCTTCGAGAACCTGCTCAGTTCCAGGCATGCACAGAAAAGGAGCTTGTTTCTCTTGGAGTTTTCTAAGTCAGCCTCACTCTGTTCTGAAATTCCCACGGTTTAACTGGAAACGACAAAGTTCCAGGCTGAGACACGTGTCTGTCCAGGCCTGCAGAGAGCTGGGCATGCAGGTCACCAGAATCCATCAGGGTCTGCTGCTGTCTGTCCAGCAGGGCCCTCAGCTTCTGACGGATGACGTGGCTCTGCTGTCTTTATTTGGTCTTTATTCGGGGTTTCACAGCTGCAGGTGCACGGGATGCACTGCCAGGCGCGGGGCCTCCGGGGATGGGGTTGCCGGCCACACAGTCCCCATTGTCAGAAGGGAAGCCGAGCACCTTTGCATCCAGCTCCTCTTTCCCACAGCGAGTCTGCTGCTCCCTGCGCTGGTCGGCCTGGCGTCTCCTCTGCAGGCTCTAGATCTTGGGCGTGTGGTTGCCAGCTTTCAAAAGCCCAGTGACTTGGCCAGCTTTAGGCGCAGGTCCTCTGTTATGCATGGGGTTTGTTTCCTGTGTCACTTGATCCCGGGGACGGGCAGTGGATTTCTGTACCTTCTTGCCTCTCACATGTGCCCCGGGCCCTCCCTATTGATTCGGTGGAAGGAAGCCCCTTTGGCCCTGGGCGATGCATTTCCAGAGAGGCAGGGTGGCATTAAGCAGGTTTGTTACTTGGACACGTCTTTGTCCTGCCCTGCTCCCAGGCAGTGTTGGCAGCAGGGGCTGCAGCGTCCCAGTGGGTTTCACTGCTGCAAAGCCCCGTCGCCTCTGTCCACCTGTCCCCCGAGGGAGCCTCGCAGTGTGGTAGTGCGCATGTGCAGCACAGATGGGGCCCCCAGGAGGCACAGTTGCCCTGACTCCAGCTGCTGCCTCACTGTAACTCATTTCAGGAGAATGAGATCCTCACTGAGCAGGAGGAGCTGCTGGCCATGGAGCAGTTCTTACGCCGGCAGATCGCAGCTGAGAAGGAGGAGATCGAGCGCCTGCGTGCCGAGATTGCTGAGATCCAGAGGTAAGCAGAGCCCAGGGTGTTCGGTTTCCTAAATGATGGGTGTGGCAGGCACTGTAGGAGGCTGAGTCAGGAGGATTGCAAGGTAAGCCCAGCCCGGGCAATTTAGTAATTTAATGAGACAGCTCCCCACCCTGCAAACTGTTTCAGCTCTCACACTTTCTCGCAAAGGAATTAAGCCTATGAGATCAGTTGTTTTTAATTTAAAACCTGTCAGGTCTTCAGAATGGTGTAGCTGGGTGCTGCAGTAGCACACACCTGTGACCCCAGCACTCTGGGAGGATCAGGAGTTGCAGCTCAGCCTGGGTAACTTACCATGACCCTCCCTCAAAATGAAAAGGGGGCCGGGGATTTAGCTCAGCGGTTCGGTGGCTTGCCTCGCAAGTGCAAGGACCCGAGTTCGATCCCTGGTACCAAAAAAAAAAAAAAAAAAAAAAAAACATAAAAAACCAAAATGAAAAGGGGCTGGGGCACAGCTCAGTGCCAAGGCCCAGCTTCAACTCCCAGGGTGCACATAGGACCCTGATGCAGGTCCCGCCAGCAGTGTATACTTAGAAGGGGTGGCAGGCAAGAGTGCCGTGCAGCGTCCCCTCCTCTGTCCCCAGCCGCCAGCAGCACGGCCGCAGTGAGACGGAGGAGTACTCCTCAGAGAGCGAGAGCGAGAGCGAGGACGAGGAGGAGCTGCAGCTCATCCTGGAAGACCTGCAGCGCCAGAATGAGGAGCTGGAGGTGAGCCTGGGCTCCTCCTTCCGGGAGCTGGGGTCTCCTGCGCTCCCCGGCAGGGAGGCTGCTGGGCAGGGACCGGGACTTCGCTTGTGACCTGGCCACACAGACCTCCTCCCCGGCCGAAAGGCGCGTCATCGGAGTGCCACTTGGGCGGCTCCGTGCTGGGGTGGGCAGCCAGGGACACGCAGAGCGGGTGGGCAGGACAGTGCCCCCCTCCAAGGCTGGGCCC